ATATCTTTACAGATATTTATGTTTTCCCTTTATTTTTTGGTATCATATGATTGGACTTTTTTAGCCCTATCCGATTTGAGGATGAAGAGGGCAGGAGTCAACACCAATCGTCCACATGATTAGCGGTTCCAAAAAAATATAAAATCGAAATCTTTAAAAAATTAAAATCGGAATAAAAAAATCAAAAAAAAAAAATATCTTGTAATGGAACCTGGTGACCCTGGTGTAGGTTCTTACTACCACCACCAACAACCACCGCCACCACAGCGCTACTCTCACCACCAACAACCGCCATCACAACCTCCGGCAGCCACCACAAATGCAATACTACCAAATACCATCACCGATACTGGTCCCCCTCAAATGCTATATCCTCGCAACTCTGTCCCATCTGCCGTCTCTTCTCCGACCGGCGTCCGGAGGAAGAGAGGGAGACCCAGAAAGTATAGCACGCCGGAACAAGCGGCGGCGGCCAAGAGACTCTCCTCCTTGTCTTCTCCGTCTGCAATTGTTCCACCCTTGTCTTCTTCAAGTAAAAATGATGTATCTAACGCTGTTGGGGCCTCCTCTTCTTCTTCCAAGAAATCTTCTGCTGGTTGGGTTTTCTTTCAATTTTTCTGTACCCCTTTGAATGTTTTTCAATGCATTAAACGGTTACATGCCCATTAACAGCAGCTTACTGCATAAGAAGAGGGCAACTTTCCTAAAAAGCCAAATAGCAATTAACCACATTGGTGTTCTTCATTCTTATTTATTTATTATACTTTGAATTGATTTATTTGGAATTCTAGTCTCAAATCCCCAAAAATGTGAGTTCAATTACATTGAAGTAAGGGATACACTATCATATTTATGGAAAAAGAAAGGAAAGATTTCAAATATTTGCTCATGTTTAGTTCAGGGATCAAGTAGTTTTGCACTTCTGTTTTTGTAGTTGAATTATTTAGAACAGAGATCATGAATAACATTAGCCATCTGGTATTCTATCAACTTGAAATTCCTATAGCAGGTTGTAGAGGTTATTTCAGTAAAAGTATCATCTGGGGTTTTTATAAATCTTGTTTGTCCATTTATAACTCAATCCTGGTGTTGTATGCATTGATTCCGAATTCGTCCTTTTTAATTTATATTGTTTTTGTTTTAGTAAAATATTGGGTGACTGGTGTATGACTCTGAGATTCACTTGGTATTCAATCTGTTTATTCAGGGAATGCTGGGCAAGGTTTCACGCCTTATATCATCACTGTCACTGCTGGAGAGGTATGATGTATGAATATCCTCATACTCATGTATTTAGTTCCAATTTCAATTATATATTATATCTTTGTCGATGTTTTGCAATATGTTAATCTGCTTAAGTATGATGAGTATGGCTGTAAGTGATTGGGCTTTTGGCTCGCAAAATCTATCCGTAGGATCATCTTAATACAAATCCAACAATTAGCAGAGTCAGACTACCAAAATATTTCTTTGTTGCAGTGATTTATCACATTGTTTCTTGATTTGGTGTAATTAGTCATTGGTGTATTTCAGTTTTCATACACTTCAGTGTTGAAAATGTCTCATTAATCAATAAATGATGATTTAGGTGCTTGGGTTTTATTGTTTTTGGGGGAGGGGGTTGTGGAGGCTTGGGATGCCTTGTCAGTCTGGATCCAATGAACATATAACTTCTATATGATTGTATATGGTTTGGGTAGGATACTTGTGTTGTCAAAGTCAATTGTTATAAACTTGTTAATGAATCTGAATAATGTTTTAGTCACCCAAAAATGTGACTTTTTGGCACTTCCTAATTGCATAATAAGTCTTGCCCTTACAACCATTTCAGTTCCCTATTATGCCCTATATTGAGAACAAGATGAACCTTATCAGCAGGTTTCCATGAAATAATAATGCTTTCGTTGGGAGGGGAGGTTCCTACGGATATACAAGTTTGATTAGATGGTCTGTGTCTAGTGATGTGGGACTCCAACAGACCCGCTCAAATGGAGGCTAGATGGTGCCCCTAAGAATGGAGGTGAAAGAGTGACTCTGATACCATGTTAGGATATTTGGAACCCCTTTGAATATCTTTTTATAACATCCGTTATAGAGAGAAGGGAGGTTCCTAAATATATACAAGTTTGATGGTCCGTGTTTAGCCGATGTGGGACCCCAACACTATTGTGGCGTCTTGTATTAGTTGCTACAATTCATTTCTAAGCAAATTTCAAGCTAAAATTATCAATTTGCCCTTTTGTAATCGTTATAGATTATTTTCAGGCCACAAGATTATCTTACTTCCTCATAAGCTTGATAAGTATGTTTTCCATCTTATATACACAATGAAAAGTATTTGAACCATAAAGGATCATTTCTGGTACATTGATCTAAAAGTAAAATGTTCTTTGTTGTTTCAAATGTAATCTTGTTTATGAAAAAAAATCCCTTTTTTCTTGCTTGGGTGAGAACTCCCAAATTTATCAATTAAATCTGAAAATAACCATCTGATTTCATGATTTTCCCATATAAAAGTTTCATTGTACAACTTCTTGTGTATTCTTCTTCAACCGAAGAAAATAATTTGTGGCCCAAAGCATGATTCGTGTTTTTTAGTATGGTAAGGATTACAAGAAATGCCTGAAATAACATTTCGGGTTTAAAACGCTTTCTTGCTTGGTGATGTTTTGCTATATCTATTTGAACACGTTCTACTCTAAATCATATATGCGATTTTTGTGATTTTGGTTGAATTTTTAGGATATTAACCACACAATAATGTCATTCATGCAACAAAGCAAGCAAGAGATATGTATCATCTCAGCATCTGGTGTGATCTCTAACGCAACTCTACGCCAGCCAGCCACATCTGGGGGTAACATTACTTACGAGGTAAAAACTATTCAAAATACTTTCAAGAAATTCAAATGCTGTGCATGGTTTTCAGAACATTAGTTGACGGGATAATGTCGGATTCTTTTTATTAGAGGAAAAAGAACAGATGATCGCATACATAGAAAAATAGTCAGTAGCAAAATCGTAAGAAAAAAGAAAAGGGAAAATGGCAGCATCATCATATTCTCTTACCCTTAATAAACCAAACCGAACTAACCCAGTAAATCCCACCCTTACTTACCCTTAATGTCAACCTCAAATCGGAAAAAGTTCTTGGATAAATTATTTTTTGTGGTTTACGTGCGACTATCTCCACTACAGAAAGAAAAAAAAAAGGAAAGAACTTCTGACTAAGTGATGGGAGGAAAAATAAAGGTTGTTGTGAAGATAAGCTCGAGAATGGAGGAAAATAGTGTAAATGAATACAACATTATGCTTTACTATGGCAAGGGCGAGAATATGACCAAAGATTGTTGTGCAAGGTCAAAAAACTGTGGTTGGACACTTGGACTGACGCTACAGAACCACTTCAATGATAAACCGAACCAAACAAGCCCAATATATCCCATCTGGAGGTGGGGTGTGGGGGTGGGGATGCATGCATACCTGACTTCTACCTCAAGGAGTAGAGTGGCTGTTCTTCCATGAAGACATGAACTGCTTCTAAGATGTAAAGCTCAAATGGGTTGGTAATGTGAAGCGTCGAGATTTCTCCAGAAGTTAATTTAGTGTTACATATATATATATGTATGTATGTATTCCTATACACATATACATACATGTATCTATATGCACACACATTGTATATATTCTTCAGAAGTTCATTGCTTTTACTTGTGGGTGTGTGTGTGTGTGTGTGAGTGTGAATGTTACCTCTAGATAGGACTGCTGCAGCCTACAACTTATTGTTTCATTGCATGTCTTATCTCAGGGGCGTTTTGACATACTATCACTATGTGGATCTTTTGTACGTTCCGATTTCAGAAGCAGCAGCAGCGGTGGCTTAAGTATCTGTCTGTCTAGTAATGACGGCCAAATCATAGGAGGCGGAGTTGACGGACCACTGATAGCTGCAGGGCCCGTGCAGGTAACATTTCCCTTTAACGTGTGAGTTCGAGGATTCAAAGGAATTTGGGATTATCATTCCTCTTCCAATAATAATGATGATTCCCGTGTTCTTGAAAGAGAGTTATATACTTTTAAGGTCAAATGGCAAGTTCCCAAAGTCACAAGTATCAGAGATTGCAATAGTTTCCATTTTGGATTTATCTTATTGTGGAAAGTTTTCAATTTACAATGACTTATTTGCCCGTTGTAAGCTTATTTGTTTTAGTAAGCACGATTATCTTATGCCCAAAGGTATTATAGACATTTGAGAAATTGTCAAACATTTTCAAAACAATTGCATGGTCAAACGTTGCAATTCATGGGATGGAAGGAGTAACAAGTACTAGAATTAAAAGAAGTTGTTTTTTATACTTATATTAGGTTTGTTTTGCAGGTAATCCTTGGTGCATTTGTTATCAGTGGTAAGAACGCTGCTATGTTTACAAAAGATGATGCTTCTGTTGGGCCATCAAGTTTGGGGTTCCCATCAGCACCTGAATCTTTTGCAAGAACTTCCATGGTTGGCAATGATGGTAATCATCAAAATAGTCACGGGTATCCATTTATGATCCCAAATGGCGGCATGCCCGTGACAACTGACTGGAGGAATAACAACGATTCAAGAAGCGCTCCTGGTTTCAACTTCTCAGGTATATTTTGTTGTCTTTTGTTGTAAAGTTTACTGAAAAGGACTCAAGCTTAGAACTCGCTGTTAGCAAGTGCTTGCACTAAAGCCACGTTTAGCAACCATAAGCTAGTTTATTTTTTGAGTTTACTAAAAAAACGCAATATGGTAAGCTTTGTAAGCTACTTCAAGTAGTGTATTAATTAGCTCGAGGGAATTTTTTCAACTTCTTTTTCCAATTATGCGCCTGTATTAATCTAATTAATTTTTCAACTTGTCGTTTTAGGTCATTTTACCAACATGACTAGTTTATCATCTAACAGGTAGCTTATTAGCCAACAATTAATAGATAAAGTCTTATCAGCTAGTTTGCCAAACATAGCCCAATGATTATAGAGATAAGGACCCCTGAATCCTAGGTTAGACTAGGGGCGTGTAGCCCTTCCTACCTTAGTCAGGTTTTCGACTTGTCTGTTTGATTTTGGTTGTTTAATCTAACTCGTTTTCAAATTATAACGGTCTTTCTTGTTTTCTAGTTCTTCTTCAAATGTTCTTTTTCTGCAAAAATTATCTTTATCCGTTTTTTGCACACTATGCTCAAGCCGGTAGTCTTCAAGGAAACAACTTCTCGTGTGCTCTACTCTTCAGGGTGGAGGTCAGTTCTGCATACATTTCATCCCTCCCTTTTGGGTGGCATATACTAGGCTTGTTTTGTTTGGTTTGGACAGTTGGTCCTTAACAGGGTGATGTCTCTAAAATGGGGGCCTAACATACCGTTCCTCAAGAAAGTTGCCTAACCAGTCTTTCGTAGTACGTGTTTTGGCAAAGCCAAGAATGTGTTTATACATATTGGATATTTGGTTTTTGCAGGAAGATTGAATCATGGAGCAAATCATTCTCCGAAGAATGGGGATTACGATCGTTTTCAAGGTTGAGATTTCAAGAATGGTTGTGTTTTAACAGGCATTTTGTTTGAATTTGGGGGGAGTTGCAACACAAATCCTGAACCACTGTACAGTTAGTTAACCAGCAACATAACCCCCTTTGAAAAGGACTCCAATGTTTTGATTTGCATTTGCTATAGTTTGTTAAATTATTGGATTAACATATATTCCTTTCACCCTTTTGTAAAAAGTTTGCAACATGATTTATTATAAACTGGAGAAATGTTAGTGCTGATTTATTGGTTGGTTTGGTTTGGTTTGGTTTATATGGATCTTGGTGTCCATGCATACTATAACAAAATAAGGTTAATAGTGTTATAATAGATTACTTTATAGGATTTAAGTTTGTAGAATCAAACATTTGTGTGTTCCATCTAAAAGTGTTGTAATAAGTTTGTATGACGTTGTTGGGCGTCTTACAGCTTTTTAGGATATTTTTTAAACAAGATGTTCTATTAGCTCTTTTCTAGCACATTTTTGAAAGGTGTCATTTAAACACATCTTTTTATAGGACACTTGTTTGGATAGCTGGAGGAGTCGTTGGGAAAGAGATCGGTGTGGGAATCGTTAGGAAAGATGGAGCTTCTCTTGTTTGGGTGTTTGTAATATGTATGTGTGTGTGTGTATATATATATATATATATATACATAATCGGCTTCAAATGAAAACGATGACCAAATAAGTGAATACGAGAACGATCAAATCACATGTGATTTTACACTACAATGACGTGTAAAATCACATCAGCTTTGGTCGTGACATGAGGTTGTGGATCAACTCACCCAGTCACCTCTTGCATTGACCATGTTTCGTAGTCACATGTGATTTCAGTGCAAAATCACATGTGATTTGGTCGTTTTCGTGTTTTCTTATTTTGACCTTGTTTTCGTTTGATATCTCTCTCTCTCTCTCTCTCTCTCTATATATATATATATATATATATATATGTATATATGACTAATCAAATCAGAACCACAAAAGATTGAGAACCAATTTTCATGTGCATGTGTTGTTTCACACTGTAAAAAATGCATGTGAAAATACAACAATATGATTTTTTAATGTCTGCTTCTTTTAATTTTTTTCATATTGTGAAACAACACTGTACATTTGCATGTATTATTTTACAATGTGACAACATATAATTAGTGGTTTCTACAGTTCTCAATTTTTTTATAGTTCTGATTTTATTTTGTCCATATATTATGATAAAGTATAAAAATAATAATATTTTTGCTTAGTTTCTTGAAAGAAAAATAAATAGACAATAAAATACTAAAATGCCTTTGACTTACGAATTTTGTTAACGACCCATTAACCACTCGGATCCATATCGAAACAAAGTGTCAGCGATAATGATAAAAAATGTAATTACTTTAATATAGGGAATGATTGTCATATTCAAATTGTGATCCCAGATTTCAAGTCTAACAATCAATTAATTCACACACAAAGATCAAGAACAGTAAGTTGAATTGAATCAGTTGGCTTGATTGTATTGCATAAACTTTGAATACAGGTTCTTGATACAATGATCTCTCTCAAACTCTCTCAAATGTGAATCTGTCAAAAGATACGAATTCTACCAGACTGTTTCTAACAAACTACTAACAAAACTACCAATAGCAACCCCTAAAGCCAGAAAGTCAAACAACTTACTAAACAAGGAAAAACAAACAACTAAACAATTATAAAGCACTTAAAAACATTTTTAGCACCGGGACTTGAATACAATATTTTTGTTCCAACAATCTCCCCCTTTGGATTCAAGTCCAAAACAACAACATCTTCATATCTTTTGACAATGATCTTCAAAACTCTAAAACTTCAAGATTTGCTCTTCAAAGCTTTAGCAATCTTCATCTTTAATAATCTTCAAACAATCTCCCCCTTTGGTAAGATATACTTTTCAGCGCTTGAATGTTCTCCCCCTTTAAAGAACAGGTAAACTTTTTACAGAAATGATCTTCACATTCACTGCCCCTTGAACATTGCAGCACAATAGTCTTCAGCGATTATCAACAATTATCTATCGACTCCTTTCAATCATGAATATCTTCCCCGATCTTCATAAATGACTCAGAAAATATGCATTCATTTTTAAGAATACTCCCCCTTATGATGAAAATGAGGAGCATTTACATCATAAACCGAAATGAATGATTTTTCAGTAATGTCGTCAATTCATAGAAAATTAAACAAATCTTTGTAAATTCTCTTATATAATCTTTTCAGATTATGAAGGTGAAGGAAAGAACCAGATTCAACTTATGAATTTGTTTTCAATCTTACGGAAAGATTGGCTTGTGAATATAACAAATATAATCAGTACAACGAATGTACTTCGTATATGAAACTTTTTTATATTCATCTCACTAGGACTTCCATTCAATCATTGATAGCTTTAAGAAACGTATCTATGAATGTTATGACAGAATAACAGATATTCTGTAAAATTTGTGCAGTATAGAAATGATAAAGCAACGAATGCTTCAATTTAAGCTCAAAAAAATAAACAGTGTGGACTACACAAATTTATCAGACTCAAATGTGATCAATAAGACTTGAAGGGGGACATATATCCCTCTTTTTTTTCTCCAAATGAAAAACCGATAGATAATGAGCTGCGTGCCCCAAGTGTTAATGAAACACTTGTCTTTTGAGAGATAAATGAGTAGCTAATGGGGTTTTTAATAAGAGTTGGCATGTGCTTTATCTTTTCTTAGTATTAGTCTCTAAAGAGTTGATAACTAATAGATTATGTGGTTTGCCCGGATTATAGTGGATAGATCAAGATTCTTTTAATCTTTTTATCCTGGTCAGAACTCTCATCAATTCTTTTAGCTCACATTAGCTACCCCTCTCATTTGCATTTTAAGCTCTGCATACAAACTCATTTTACATTTAAGTTCACTCAGATATGGATGTCCTCTTCGATAGGGTTGTCGGTTCTGACAGTCCATAGATGTATTTCTGTTAAGCTCTCAGTCCCTCATAATATTACAATGTAAGCTCATGATCACAAAAGAATGATCAAGAATAATATTGCAATGATGCACATTTGATCAGATGAAAATTGATCAAAAAAAATGTAGCAATTAATCACATGATCAAATAGTAAGGAGTGATATATAAAACAGATTATTCATGAAAATATAGGGAGAAATGAACGAATATATGTAAGAACAAGTTTACAGATAAAGAATCAAAGTATTGAAAAATGTATCAATCAAAGAATTAATCTCAAAATCAACTCAGAAAGCAAAGTTGAGTACTAACGAGTGTATTATCACCGAAAATGAGTTTTCATTTTAAAGACTTAATAATAACATTTTGAAGAATTGCTTAATCAAGTATTGGAAATATGTACGAAGAGAGAATACAGAAGTATAGTCTCAAAGAAATACCTGTTCAGAAATGGTACTTGTTCCAAAAAAAAATAACAATAAAAAAACATTTAAAATCGCACTTCTTAGAAATGAAAAACAATTAAGTTCAAGGAAGTGGTTTGAACATTTAAGAGAACATTTTATATACAAAGATGTTGTTCTTCTTCAATGCATATTCATAGAAAGTTAAGAAAGATATACCTGATAAAAATAACAGATCATATATGAAATGATGAGGATGAGCTCCCCCTTGATGATACAACCCAAAAACTCAAACAAGTGATTAGAATTTTGCATTTAAAAACATAAAGATTAAGTTCAGATAAACATTTAAACTCAAGTTCATATATGGGCGCTAAGAGGAATGAGCCCTTGCTCATTTGTAGGTGCTGGCCTTGGATGTGCGTCCTTCCTCTGTATATGATGGATGACCCTTTGCAGGGCTTCATTGTGTTTTTCCGTTAATTCCAAGGTAAGCATTTGTCAATGACTCAGCTCTCAATACTGCAATGGATGATCGAACTTCATCTAGAGCAGGTGCAGAGGTTGATGGCTTTGCACGGGCCATGTTAAGTTTTAGCTCTTCCAAGGAGCACATTGTAGAGGTGGCGAAGGATTGGAACTCATCCCTCGTGACGTATGTTGTAGGGGTACCTTTGGCTCAACACGTGGGCCAGAGTTGGTCCTTGTTCCAAGGACACCTTCATTCATGTCTTGTTGTATGTTGGACAAGGAAAGATTTCCAGCCGATCCTTGTATATCTGCACGTGGTGAGGATACTACGGTTGTTCTATCAAGAGGCACTCTTCCACTAGATTCAGAGTCTGATGGAAGGTCCTTTATGAGTGGACTTTGAGACCTGTCGAGGGTCTCAAAGCCATGTGCACCTAATCCTTACTCTGAACAAAGTAGGGATAAAGTTAGTGCAGAGGAAACAAATTCCTCTGTTTGGGAAGGTAGCGTGGCATGGGGAGACATGCCACTTGTTGTTTCAAATGATTCATCATTTTGAGAGGATGAACCATGAGATGTGGGTTCCCTTTGTCTATTATAGCCAGATGCAGATACGACCTCTGGCTGGCTTGGCTGGTTAAGGTTCAAGGCTTGAACCTCTGTTTTAATGACTCTTGTTGCTCAACCAACTGAGTTGGAAGATGTGTTAGCACTGGAGTTGGGCTTAGAAAGTATATGTGCCTACTCCTAACCCTCTCTTGCTCTGGCTCCCCCTCGACCATAGTATCGCCGCCCTCATCTCCCTCTTCACCACCAGAGCTCTTAGAGTCAGAGATCTCTCCTTGTTCTTCTCTCTCGTCTTTAGAGCTCTCTGCGTTAGAACTTGAGCTCTGTTCTTGTTGAAAACGCAGAGCATGTTCCCTCCTCTTTCTTTCTTTTTCCTCTTTCTCCCTTCTTGCTTTCTCCTCTCTTGCTTTTCTCTCCTATTCATCCTTCTCCCTTTGTATCTTTTCTAACTTAGTCTTTTTGGCTAGTTCTTCCTCTCTTTTCTTCTCTTCCCTCTGTCTCTTTTTCAACTCCTTCTGTTTTTGCTTCTTTTCTTATTCCATTTTCTCTCTCTCCAGCCTCTCAACTTCCCTCTGCCTCTCCCTCTCACTCTCTCCCTCCACGTCTTATTTTGCCTCTCCTCCCTCTGTGGATTCTCCTATGTGTGTCGGGGTTCGAGTCACTGGTTCTAGTGACTCGCGTACACATCTATAAGCTCTCCTCACCTCCCTTGTCTTGATGTAATCTATCAACTTCTTGGGAAGTGGCCTCTCTGCAAGGTAGTCGTCCTTGTGCAGAGTAGGTCTTTACTTGGAGAGGATGTGGACTTTGGCCATTGGGTGTGTAGAGCACTAAACATTTTGCTCTTCTACGCTAGGCCTTAGGAGAAGGCCTAAAAACGTGGGAAGAGTAGAACTAGGAGGATTTTTTACCCTTTGAGACGTCCAGGTTCTTCTTGGTCACAGCCGCCTTGAATTCTGTGTAGACGATGAACGAATAGTCCAGAGGCAGGTCGAAGAAGATCCCATACAGCAGTTGCAAGATGTTGGTGGAGCACATGTCCATGCTCCCTCTCTTGCCGGTTAGGTAACGGTTCACCAAAGTGAACATAACGTTCCAACATTGGCGACAGGAACTGGCGCCTGAACTGTGATGGGTACTTGATTTGGTGGTTGTACGCTAGCATCTTCAAGAATCCGACTAGCTCTTCCCATGTTGGGAGAGGCGCGTACTCAGCCAATCCAAGGTCACTCTTGGTTGGGATTTGAAGGACCAAAGAGAAAAATGACCTCAAGATCCTCACATTGCAGTATTTTTTGCAGTCTGGGAGATAGTATTCTCCTAGGATCCCCCTTTCATTGGTCATAACTTCATAGAATTGCCAGTATTCCTTTAATCTCACACATATCAAGTAACAACTTACTCCCCCTGGAATATTGATTATATCAATATCAGTATGCTCCCTAAAATCAGTAAAGCACGGGTTCCGAACTGAGTTGTTCAAAAGCTAATACCGCACAATTATCTATATACTCCCTTTCAAACTAAGCATCAGACTTATCATGTGTTTGAATATTTGATTTCAGCACTACACATGATAAACCTGCAAAACAAATTAAATAGATCTTGGTACTCATACCTTCATGGGTCCTTTAATGTTAGTTTTAGTTTGAGGTATATTGTATGTACCATACCAACTGTTTAAATTAGATATTCTCGCTTTTAGATCTTTTCACAGGGAAATCAGATACAGTAAGTACCAAATTAGCCATTTGTATTCCTCTTATTGACAAAATCACTTGCTCCACAGGTTGAACAACATATCTTCTTCTTGTTAAGATTGATTAATTGATTAGTAGACTTAACAAAGCATGGTAAAACAGTCTTTGAAACAAATGATTTTGTATCAACTACAGGAGATTGATAAGACTTGTTCCCAACACAGTCTTCTGTAGTTGATTTCTTTATGCAAACCTTTTTTACTCTTTAATATTGATTATTTGAATCAATAACATAACCATTGTAGTACTGATTAGAAATATGATATTTATACTTTGAAAAACCAGATTTAGAGCTGCTACAGTAATTGTTTGATTTAACACTTGAACAATCACTCTTACAGACTTTACCTGGGGAAAGAGGATCTATAGAACTTGAAGTGTTCTTTTTTGAAAACTCTTTGAGTTTATTCAATAGTTGATCTCTTTCTTCAGTTACTGAATCACGTTTCTTTATAAAATCAGACCTCATATTGTTCTCAGTTACAAGATATGTTTCCAATACAAATAGTATCTTTGAAATCTCAAAGATTTTGTTCTCAAAAACTTCCTTTTCTTTTTCAAAATTACCTTTCTCATTTCATAAGCAACTTCCAACCATTTTCTCTTTTCAGATAACTCCTTGACTAAACCGGCATTCTTCTTTGATGTTAGTTTTCTTTCACTGGCAAAATTTTTTCTTTCATCATCCAGTGTTTTCTGAATAACATGAAATCTTCTTTGAAAGTTCCAGACATTTCTTATCTAACTCCTTTCATTCAGATTCAAATTTTGTCCTTTCCAAAATTACTTATCTTCTCAAACACAGCAATTTATTGTGAAAGCTTTACATAATTCAACTAAAATGACTTTATTTTGCTTTCACAGCTTTTCCTTTCAGCAACAAACCTCTTTTCCTCATCAATAAATTTGTTTTTATCTTTCTCAAACATCTTTCTTTCAGAATTCAATACCTTCTCAAGTTCAGCTAACTTTTCCTTCCCTTTCTCTAGATCTCTCTTTCAGAGTTCAAGTTCTGCTCAAGTTCTGAAACTCTTTCAATTCAAAATTCTTCTTTAACAACACAATATTCCTTCTTTTAGAATAACCATAACTCTTGTAAAGCTCATCTAATTGTGCATGTAAAACCCCTTTCTCCTTCTCTCCTTTATCACTTTTTAAATCTTTAGCCAACAAAGATTTTGATAATTTTTAGCATGAATCTTTATGTAATCTTCTTGTTCTTTTTCTAGTCTTTTCTCCAAAACATAAATCTTTTCTTTAAGATCCTTATGCTTTCTTTCTAGAACAAAAGTCATCTCAAAATAATCCAAATGATAGATTGACAGAATGATTAACTAGATCTTTTTACAATTCAAAACACAGAATAACTCTCAAACTTGAAAGATTATCTCTTGACCCTTCTTGAATATCGCTCAAGAAAGATATCGGATAACAAATAATATCTCTTAATCAAATATCGACCAACAATTAGAAGAATATCGCTCACAGTGAATTCCGCCCAAAGTAGAAAACCGCTTGGACGAATATCGCTCAAAGCTTGAGTGATATACTTAGAGATCGGGTAACACTTGCACGATATACTTAGAAAATCGATCAACTCTTGCACGATATAGTCAAAACACTTAACACATGAGCGATATTTACAAAAATCTCTCAACAAGCCTCGAAGCATAAAACAAATAAAATTCATAAATATTAATAGTAAGCAAAACATAATTCTTTACCAAACTTTGTCATAGATTAATAAAATACTAGTTGTAAGTCTAAAAACATATCAATCTACAACTTATAGTTCCCCGTAGCCTGATCAAGTTGTATAGCTCCACAATCGTATCCATAATCACCATCACTTTCATCTACCAAATCCACTGAAAACTGAAAATATACTAGACTGAAATATATCTAATATAATATAATACATTATATATAAACTAAAAATGAACACAAACTAAAAAGAACTTACTTTTTGGGTTGACCTTTGACACGAAAAAAATAGGGTCTCGAGAGGAGTATGCCTCAGAAACACCTCAACGCACCGCCTCATCTATTGAGGCTTAAGCTTTCGTCCAAGGACCATGAGGCACCCCCTCATGAGCGGTTTTGGACCACCTCGGCTCGAGGCATGCGTATGCTCAAACGATTTTGAAAACCATGAACACAAGCACCAAGCCACGATGGCTGTCATGGCAGGCCTTTCAAAACACTGAGCATAGGCCTCCCGAAGGTAATAGAGGTATGCAAAGGTCTATCAAGTCGGACGAGAATTGGCCCTCCAACCGTCCAACGCAAAGGCAGAAAAACAAAATATGCATTTAACATACCATGTCATTTATAGAACAACAAAAAATGATGAATTTGATGATAAGTTAAACAGCTACTATAAATTTCCCTGCAAATAATCAAAATATAAATCATTCCATATTTTGTTAACTACATTAAGAAAGCAATAAAAACCACTCACAAAGACGAGATATTCTTCAGATCTTTAGGTCAAAATTTGAATGAGAAAAAGAGGAAAAACATCAAGTTAAATATTCTTTCTAGTCTAATCTCTGCAATTGAAAATGATGAAAAAAAGAAAACGGTGGTAGAAACGAAACCTAAAACGGCAGCAAGATACAGTTGGATCCTTCCTACGGTTGACTTGAGTTACCATCTATTGCTGGGTGGTTTAACTTTGTAAATCCTAACGATCCAGTTTGACGTCGTGAATGCTTCTTCCAGGTATTCAAGCTTCACATCTTTGTTCCCTATTTCCACACCCCTTGCTCTATCGTACCTGCCATGTAAATCATACCATCACTACAATATCACAAGATTGGTCTAATCATAAAGGACCTATCAAATCCTTTTCTACTCATCTTGTATGACACGCATATATATATATATATATATATATATATATATATGGGGAAGGAGCTTTATATAAGCCACATGGTCCATGCAATAAGACTTTTAAGATTTAGCCGAGATTTTGTTAGGGCTCAAGCATATGCATGAAGGCAGACACTTTGCTGACGTCATGGCTTACAGAAAAATGGTTGCAAACCCAACGAGCCCAGTATAACCCACCCAGAGGTGGAGGTGGAGATGTATGTGGATCTGACCTCTAGCCTAAAGAACAGTATGACTGTTTCCATAACTGACGGTATAACTGAAGAATAATTACGGCCAGAGACACAAACACATTGTTTAGAACCAGCCAAATTAGTCCCAGCTTGAACAGGGGTGGAGGAAATATGAGAATGGAAAATAGTACATAAACTTTTTCTTAAATTTGGATAATTTGAAATACTGCAAGGTGAGCAGGGCAACCCTTTAAGCACTAAAAATTAGAAACATTTTCGTAGTTCAAGTAAAGCCAAACCACAAAATTACAATAATGGTACTCCCTTCATCCCGAACAAAAATTGCACCTCTGTTTTATGAAAATATTCAATCCAAACTTACTTATCTTCCGCTCAGCATTCATTCAAGATATCGATGAATTGACTATGTTCTATAAGTTCTCCAAATTATCTTATTAAAGTATATTTTAGGTTTTTTTTGTTAATCATGTCAAGCATTACTCCTGTATTGGATAGCATGTCATGTCAAACATTACTCCTTTTTAGGACAAAGGGGGTAATAAAGTTAAGCCACTCACCCTGGAGGTTTCCCATATTCCGTTGTCAGCTCCCCAAACCGATAATAGGAGAGCTTGTACCTACAATCATTCATAATAGAGAAGGAATAAAATCAGAACAGAAGAATATACTAAAAGTTATCACAAAAGTGCGGGTGATGTGAGCGAGGGGGAAATACAGCCATTTGGAGAAGTTGCTTTAAATTATGAAAAGCTTTAAGAAACTCGTCGCTCTGTTTCCTACCCTGTGCGACATTGGACATAACCTACGCTACACCTTTCTTAAAAGGTCAATAGAACCAGCATAATGGTTTATCATGGCTGAAGTGCACCACAGCCTTACCAGCATGCACTCTCTCCGTCCCAAAAATAGATGTCCACATTGAAAAAGGCACACAGTTTTAGAAATGTGTAATTATTACACTTTTTATTTAATTAACTAAATGAATAATTCTACCCTTAATAATAGAGGGAGTAATGAATTTCTCCATCTCATAGCTAAGAGTAGAATTGGAAAGTAGGCCCTTGCTTTTGAAAGTTGACACTTATTTTATGTGGATACTTGTTTTGGGACGAGGGAGTAGTTCTGAGAGTAATTCGCTAAGATGTTACATGAAGAAATTCAATAACCATACAATTTTCAAAGCTACCCCAAGATTCAATCCAACCATAGCATATAAAACACACAAAAAGATTTTACTGAACACTAGCAAGAGACCCAGAATAAGAACATACAAATAGTAATGATGTATCCTACTTCCCTGGCACAGCCGCTTATCTGATTTTGAAAGAAAATCCCAACAGCCAGACCACTTTATTTACACCTTTTAATTATTGTTGGGAGCATTCACTTCAAAGAGCCTCACATTATGTTCAATTCTTAAAACTAAGAAATGTATCCAAGTACTCGACAACTCATACTTCGTCTCCCTCCTAGAATACTAGATACTGTTGCAACTATTTTCGCTCTGTTCCATCTAAGACAGGTTATTTAGAAGAATAACCTTATGACAGACTTTTTTGGTAATGCATGACCTTCTCACACATTTAAGAACGTCCCTGCCTATCAGTAAAATGCCTCGTCCTAACACAAGAATGCCTCAAAATCTGTCAGAAGGTCATGCCTTGAAAAAATACATTTAGAAGATTATTCTCCCAAATAACCCCATTTCGGAGGTGGGCCACATGGTACTTTATACATACAGTAATTTGTCTTTCCATAAACTGATGCGCTAGTACTTGTGATTTAATTTTTAGATCTTTGTTATTCTATAATTATGTGTAAAAGATATAAAAATAAAATGAGTAAATTACATTTTTCATCCCTGTTGTTTCAAAATTTCGGTTAACATCCCTGCAATTCATTTCTATTTTAGTCCCGAGGCCAAAACACTACTTTTAAGTATAAAGGACTAAAATAGAAACAAATTATAAACCATAGGGACGAAAAAGGCAATAAATTTTAAATTATAAGGACAAAAAAGGTAATGAATTATAAACCATAGAGATGAAAATTGTAATTTCAAAACCATAAGGAAAATAGAAATTTTCACCAAACCACAGGGGATGAAAAACATAATTTACGCTTATAAATATAAAACATAAAGGTAGATGGAAACATATGCTCCGAGCAAACAAAATCTTAAAGAAGCATCAAGACAAAGAGGCAGGGGACTTGCATTAAACAATTCAACATCTTGGGAGCTGCTCCTTTATCGACACGGTATTCACCATTAACAAGATAATCAGGTTCCTTGATCACAGGGAAAACTCCACCTCCAATTCTAACCATCCATAGAAACCTGCATAGACACATCAACATGTGGTTACAAAAATGAAGTTAAAAAGCAACTACTATATTTGACGAGAGGATCTGTAATATCAAATCTAGAACAGTTGGTCCAAGTTCATCAGCAATTATGAACCACTAATTCATGCATACCGGCATACTACCACATAAGTGAAGTTAAAACATAATGGAAGTCCTCTTATCAATTTTAAGATGGTTTTTACCCTGTTCATTAGTAAAATAATGAACTGCTAATTCATGCATACAAACACACCAATATATAGTTGTCCAGTCTTCTGAGCACCATGTGATACAATACAAAAACAACAAAATTAGTTTGGGTTCGCTGAAAAAGAACAAAACAATATACAACTTAAAACCAAACCAAACCAAACAAACCCAGTAAGGAGACCTTTCCTCTACATCAACAGGTAGAGGGACTGTTACAGAGAAGACTCCAGCTTGCGGAAAAAAAAATATACAACTTGAGAAACCTAAAATGAAACATAGAGTGAGCACCACAAGGTTGCTGGTGAAAACTTTTTAAGCAACTCCCTTTATGTGCCTTGTAATTTCATTCAAAATGAAAGAAACTGAGATTTTGAATCTTAAGTATTACAATGCAAACGACTTCTTAATATCATGTAATTGAAGGAACTGAACCTAATTTCATGATAAGCACTATTTGAGATAATTCTAAACACTTACTTGTTAATATCATCAGAAGAGTAACCAGTAACACCTCCAAATACAACCAAAACATAGTCCACATCCAGTGACCTCATTATCTCATAAGCTTCATCCTCATATGAGGACATTGCCCGTCCAACGGTAGCAATATGTGTATTATTCCAGGTGTTATTGTCTACAATCACAGTTCTGTTTCCCATGGCAGTGATTTGATAACCATAATCCCACCAAGACATTACCTTAGCATCTGAAGGAGTATTCTGCTGAAGCCAAAAGTACGCTTCACGATAATCATCAAAAATTACCCTTTGACCATGGGCACCCCTTGCAGCCAAGACAATCGAGGGAGATGAGTATGCCTCTGAGGTGACCCATGTACAATGGATAGCATATCTGCTTAGTAAATAATAAGCACCAAGAAGCAACACCATAGCACCTTTTTTCAGGAAAGACGCAGATTCATCAAGAGAAGCTTGTTGCTGCGACAAATGTATTACAAAAAGTCAAACCAGCAGATAAACTATTTAGCCGACCTTGTGTCTTTGATAAGCCAGAAATGCACAGTACTACCTGAAAGGGCAAATTTTAAAGGAAGCAAACCACCACATACCTAAGATGATATGTTAATATTCCCTTGTGAAGCAGTACAAACATTTATAGCCTTAGCAATGAATTTTAGAACTTTTTTAAATTATGTCAACTAACTTTACATGAATAGGAGTAAGAAACAAAGATGTATAGTCAAGATAGCATCCCTCTCCTGTCAATCTTCAGATTCTAGACCATGAAAGGACATAATGTACCCAACTTCTTATTATTAGTACCCTATGCTATTACTTGCACTGCTATAGAGGTGGTATAGTGGTTCGTGGAGGCAGGGAGGTAACGGTGCTAAATCACAGCCTGAAATCACAGTACTGCTAAAATCGGTGCTATCTGCCACATTTTGACAGCAAGTTGTAGACCATGCAAGGACACAATGTACTAGTACCCTATGCTGTTACTTGCACTGTTATAGAGGTGGTATAGTGGTTTGTGGAGGCAGGGAGGTACCGGTGCTAAATCACAGCCTGAAATCACAGTGCTAAAATCAGTGCTATCTGCCGCATTTTGACAACAAGTTGTTGATGTGATAGTGAAAGATTTGCAGGTTCTTAATTTGTTAGGTTCATTTGGGCTGGTTAATGTTGGGTTCATAATAGATAGGTTTTTACGAGCTCTAATTTAGGTAATTAGGTTATCACTTCATATCACAGATTGACGTCTTCACAAACAACTGATGTGATTCCACCAATCGATGTCTCAAAAAGCTGTTCAGTTTGCGACTTTACTCAGTTCTTCAGTTAAGAAAAGAACAGAACATCACATGTTCAGTGTTCCTCCAGTCCTTCAGTTCGTGATTCTCGACTCTACTCCTGTTCTTCAGTTCAGAGGTGAGGTTTAAGACTTCAGCCTGTTCAAGTTAAGATTTCTACTCTTAAGTTCTGAACTTCTTCAGGTTAGGTTTCTACTTGGCGCTTACAGTGTTATAGCTTGGAAGTTTGTACTGGTAGTTTAGTACACTCAACACTACACTACATAGTGCACACAGAAAACTACTAAAAATGTTTATTCTATCATCAATATGAAATTATGATTTGTATAACTCTGTGTCGAACACAGAATACTATATACTTATATAGAGTGCTTTCAATTTAGTTTCCAGTGTTTTGTATCATTGTATGTGGAGCAAATGCAAATATAGAATGCTTATAATGTAGTTTAACATGATTAATATATACATATAATTCTAATTATTATATGGAACTGCTATATCACCACTTTACCATCACGATAACTGCTATTTCAAATCACAATCCTGGCCGTGATTTCTTATTTTGACCACTGTAACAGCATAGCTAGTACCCTATCTTTACTTGCATTATTAGCATGGGCATATCTACAACTTCTTGTGATTTGGCACTAAAGAGCAAAACTTGTGCAACAAAGATAGAGGCAGACATTGAAGGCCAAGTGAAAATATATATGACCAGTCCACCTACTCCATTTTTTTCAGAATGCATGATTTATTTAAGAATATAAATTATAAGTGGCACGTCAAACAAACGTATAGGAAGACAAATGAAAATAGGTCAAAAAACGGCAAGAGTATAAAGAGGAGCCTTGTTGTAATTTACAAGGGTTGGGAAGGGAATAACTTAACCAGGCAGTCTGAGGAAATAATAATGCTACCACAAAGTACAACTTAAAATTACTTGGAGCAAATCAATGTATAACTATGTGAAAATTATACCCACAAGGATGCAACAGAACATACTTTAAAAGTTGGAAGAACGCAGGCAGGAAGCTACTCAAAATGAAGTATATACAGATATACATAACATATAGTTATAAACAAAAGAATCCCAGAAAAATACTAGAGCACGAGACTACATATGCCGAAATAATATATCACAATAAATCGTCAAAATACCCTGATTACTTTTCAGTGTTTTGTACCCTGGTCTTCATGTCACTTCATTATTTTTGCTCTATATATCTTGTACTCTCACTCCCCAAGATCTTAGGGTTGTTCGGCCGGGTTCTTGTGGCCAAACCAAAAATCCAATTCGATTTCGGATATGGAAACCAATCCCCGAATTTTGGATTTCGGATGCTTTGGTTTCAGATCGTTCGGGTTCGGGTATAGTTATATGCAAAAAAATATAATATTCAATTGATTTTGAGGATGAATTGGATATGTACGGCGACTAGGACTTGGGATTTTTGAAGGATAATTAGATAAATACATATATTTATATGATATCTAAAAATTATATATATATATATATATATATATATATATATATAGGGTCAGGTTCAAGGGAAAACCGCAAAAAAATGAAAAAACTGAGGAACACCCTAGTAGCCATTCATCTGGACGGTATGCACATGTGCGTAGTAGTAATTTGGAAGCAATTTATCCGGTATGCACTTGTGCAAAACATGCACACATGCATAAAACCAAAAAACAGCTTCGATTACTTGTATGCACATGTGCATACTGTCCAGATGAATGGTTACAACTTACAAGGATGTTCCTCAGCTTTTCAATTTTTTAGGGTTTTCCCCTAAACCTCTCTCTCTCTCTCTCTCTCTCTATATATATATATATATGCATATATATATATATATATATATGTATATATGTATATATATATATATTGCGTTTTCGAACAGATCAGGTGGTCAAAAATAAATGAAGACCAACGCCTCTAAACTCACTTACAAACCTCCCTCCCTCCCACGATTACAAAGAAAACCAGCGCCTTCTGAAATACACCACACATTTATATTGTCCCCTCTGTTATTTTTGGTGGTGCATGTAGTCGTATCAATGGTAGTAAAAGTTGGGTGGGTATTTATATACAACAAATATGGAGGTATATGCACAGAAAGCTCACAGAAGAAATGTCACTAACACTTAACTTTTTGTTGAATACCTTAAAACAGAGTCCTACTAGTTTCATATTACAATCATCACTTTTGGCAATTTAATACGAAAAATGGTGACGTTAAATTTGGCTAATTTAAGTAGAAAATATTGGTCATCATTCTTCTGATACTATACAATGTGTAACAGGTACAATTGTACAAATGCTCATGCAAGTTCTTGGAGTTAATATGTTAAACAGATACATTAGCTAAAAACAATCAACAATTCAACCTCTAAAACCAGTTTAAGAAACTCTAAGAATACTTGACACCAGACTCAAGACTAAGGGGCTGCTTACCCAACGCTTACCCGATAAGCACTGACTGGGTCACTTACCTTACCGGAAGAACATGGCAAGGACCGAGAATCTTAACGGGTAAGAGCGATGGCAAGGACCAAGAGTCTTACCCGGTAAGTGAGGGTGATGACTCTTACCCGGTTGCATACGATGTTGTTTCGATGGACCATAATCTACCCGGTAAGGTAAGTGAGAGTGTCGAATCTTACCGGTGAGCGCTTACCGGGTAAGAGTTTGGGTAAACGGCCCCTAACAATGAATTTATCTAGTGGAGCATTGCATTTACATCCATTGATATAGCTTCACTCAACCTCATTAAAACTTGGGATATAAACCACCAATAATAATCAAATGAATAAGCTAGTAGATTGGCACTCATAAAAACCTATGGACAGGTGTCGTTCATGGCCAGATTGCCCAATTATTTCTCAATAAGGCTTGTCTAATAAGGTCAACAGTGTAATAATAATAACCTTATTAAGGTAATTTTCTACTATTATTCAACAAGCCTATCCCAAGCCTTCGGTCAAAAGAGAAACTTTTGGTATGTTGGGAGTATATATTTTTCCAATCCATCGCAGAAGTGAATGTTCGGGTCTTCAAAGGAGATTTCATCGTATTTTTGACGCAGAAGTCCTTTTCTCTTTGAATATTCTATTGTTATACCACCTTGAAGAAGATCAACAAACATGTGGACTATTTATTCATGAAACCACATGTCAACAAACAATAATAGTGTCTATGAATTTGAAGGAGAACAAGATCAATCCAAGACGCTACAAGGCCAATCCTAGAGACTATAGAACCATGATAATCCTAATAACTATTAGGATTATCTCTGATCATTCTTATGAAGCAGGATGATTGTTGTGTTCAGAATTCTCATTCGTTCTGATTATCATTACAACAAATAATCTCTTTATTGTTAAACTATTATTAGTGTCTGTGTTTAGCTTTGTTGTTAGAAAAATTATTGTTATTATTTAGTTTATTATAAAGGTACATCCATTTAGTGAAATGCATTGAATGATGCTGAAAATTGTTAAAAGATTTTTGTACAGTGTCTTTCTTTCCATTCCTTTTTCCCTCTCTTGTTGTTGCTCCTCTCTTGAACTCCCCTCCTGAATTTTGATTCCTATCAATTGGTATCCACACCACAACTCTTCCTTCACCATCTCAGTCTTTTCCATAAACCCTAATGCACTTCAAATATCAATTATGGAGCAATTCTCATATTAGTGTTCACATGAATTACACTCCTCATGGAATGACTTCTTTATTTCATTTTCACAAAATCATCGACAGTTCACCAAAATCCAAATATTTACATGGCTGATTGCAGGAGCTAAGTTTCGTAAGGGGACTGGAGCAGGCTACCATGGGACAATCAATTAGAAGCCTGACTATATTAGATTAATTAACCATTATTCTAATTATACTAAGTACTAACTATGATGATTGTAAGGATAATTTGTGGTGTAGTTTCATCATCATCTTGATTGCTCTAGTTAATTAGTAGCTTTATTTTGGGTACTTAACTATCACTAATATTTAGATTTGACATATGTAGACTGTAACTCCATGTTGCGTGTGAAGCCAAAGAGAAGTATTACATTCACCAGAAGTTCTTTAAAATGTCTCTTTCATCTCATCTCCTTCTTTCTTCTCTTCCAATTTCTGCTCTCCTTAATTCTACTTCTAGCTTTAGATTTTTATCAAAAATATTGTTCCCAAAGTCAGCAAACCTAATGCTGACATGCTTGATAAATCAAAAACTTGAAAGACTCGGCACATCACCAATGTGTTAAGCTAAGATCCCAGCCATATGTGAAACTGAAGACTCCACTAAGTCTGCTAAAGTCATGAACTAACCCAATGCAATTATTTCCATATATGAAAAGAACATACTAATTGAATAGAGATATCACCTTTGACAAGCTCTTAGTGCTATTCATTCCCTTGGCAAGCACAGTATGAGCAGGTTTGCTCTCTACCCTCACCAATTGGGTCAAATTCTTTAGTGTAGCGGAGACTGCAATAGCACTTATAAGGCATACTGCAGGTGTTGCAACAAGAATCAAGCGAACCATCACTCCAGCAAAATACATGCTCGTGAGACCATACATTACAATAAAAATTGTGGCATCTGACAGTTGTTGGAAGCAAAAATACAGACCCGCTGGGAATAAGAAAAGCAGGATATGGAAATCAAACATGAAAGATGACCATGCAGTAGGCTGATGCTCAGAGACAGAAGCTATTATCGGTATATGATCTTTAGCATAAGTGGGGTCCAGGAGAGAGTAAAAACGGCCAGTCCATGGAGATATGTAGCCAGAGGCTGTGCCAACTCCTAGAGCAACCACACCCACACCTAGCGCACATGTCACGCCAATCCTCAAAAAGGCTTGAAACAGCTTTGAATCATTAAGCATGTGCTTAACCCAATCTAAGAAGTAAAATACCTGCAAACAAAATCAAATACTGTAAGTTCAGTGCAAAAGCTGACTTAACATATGAATATATAGTAATGATTAATCAGTCACTTTAAGGGGAACTCTATCGGCCATCGATCAGTAACTCTGCAAAACTGAACCATGGTCCATGGCAGGGTGATCAAAAAGACAAAACCGAACTTTCAAGCACTGTTCTTTATTTTAAGTAAGTGTGATAAAAGATTTGGAAGATGCGTGCTTTCCCTTGATCCATTCACATCGTGTTCAACTCAAACCAATCACAAGCTAATTTTGACATAATTAGCAAGGCACGACAAATTTGACTTTAACTATGAATAAGGCTACTAAAAAGGGAAGAGATACCTGAATCAGAAAGAACACCCCCATTGCGGCCATATGCTCCCCTGACTGAACATGCTGAAACCCAACAAACCGGATCTGCATTGCAAGCAACATTCCCACTATATACATACAATTATAGGCAACATACAGCCTCATGGAGTACCTTCCAGTAATCAACAGAACCAATACATAAAGGGGAAGTAAATTAATGATAAATACATAGCCACCCCAAGCCGAGACCATATAAAAGTATCCAAACGCCGAAGCAAGGGACCAAGCAAGCGATCCAGTATTAACAGCCTTAACAAACAAATAGAAAGTGAGCAACAAGGCAAAGATAGCAACACCCTCATTGTCATAGGACCCAGCAACCGACCTAGAAATGTACCCAGGGCAAATAGCGATTAATGCAGCGGCAACAAGACCAGCACCAGAATCCCATAACTCTTTTCCAAAGAAATATGCGACGATGGTAGTATTAGAAGCAAAAAACGGGGCAGTTAGCACACAGACCTCACGAATGTGAACAGCAAAACGAAGAAATTTCAGAGCCCAGTAAATGACAGCAGCCGTGACCATAAGCCCAGGGTAAAGTGTTCCCCCAATGATGCGGCCGAGTGGATACCAACTCTCTGAGTCGAACCAGTTCCAAAACTCATAGAAACCCTTTTCAGTCAAGTACAAAGTGGTACGGTAGTTGAAATAAGGATCAAACTCATGGATCATGCTCTCGTAACGGAGAACACTGAAGAGACGAGTGATGAAAGCTAAAATGTAGACGAGACCTAAGATGGTGACTCGGATCAAGAGCTCTTGTTGCTTGGTTTTCAGCTTTAGGGTTCTGAATGAAAAATGTTTGGACAGAGATGATAGATCCGACTGGGAGCTAGGTTGATTTACCGGCGGCAACGAAGACTTCGAGCCGCCGTTCAAGGCGTCCGATTTTCTGACCATGATCGATGATTTTAAGCCTACCCTAAAGCTTACCCTATTTCACAACAACTATGAAGAGAGTGAAGTGGTGAGGTCGCTTGACACATAATGTTGAGTCTTTTGAGGGGAGGGAGGGGAGAGGAGATGGTTTGGTGATAGAAACCATTTTACTTGGAAAAAATTGGAGCCTTTTAATTCAAATGGCTTATTCTTTAGAACCATTTTTGCTCATAAAATATTGATTTCGAGGTCGTTATCCATCTGACAAGTAACTTTAACTCAGAAAAGAAACTTAACACGTAAAGTGCATACTTCGTTCGGGATAAAGGCATAAGGTTGCATCTAGAGCTGATACTTAACACGTATTGATGTAATTTTCAAAGACGTAACGGTTACATCTGAAGGATAGTAACTGTATGTTGAGTAAAAGAAAACCGGAGTTGGGTTTTGTAGAAGCATAATGTTATGCCTTGAGTTGTATAAGATTACACCAACATCATATTGACTGCACGTTAGAAGAGTAGCGCTATGTCTTGTGATCCATAATGTTATGCTGGTATAAGTTAAAGGCGATGATACTTAAATAGACCCTTCAACTTGATTCTTCATTTTAGTTCACAAATTTGAGAGGTATCGTGAAAGAAAGAGCAATGTTCACTATAGGGGCATTTGGTACGCTGATGGGACGATACATGATTTGATGGACGAAAATGAGGTAGGGGAGTAAAAGAATTGTGTAAGGTTTTAGGGTTTTAATTTGATATTGGTAGTTTAGTAATTTACATGTTTTGTCACGTCTCCCTTAAAAAAAGATCCGTAAAAAATAAGTCAAAAAACTAAGTTTTGTTTAACTAGTGTGGTCAAGGTCACTTCCAGACAAGGACGAGACGGTTGCTTATTCAGAGTCTAATAGAAAATAGGGCTCCAGTTTTCTTAATTAACATGTTTTATCTAGAAACATAGAAAGTAAATGATTAAATGTTTTTGACTTTTCAATAATTATCTTGCATATAAATCAAAATTTTGTCTATTTACTTTTTCTTCCATCTCAATGTCGATATCTATAACATCAATAGAAAACGTGCATGTTTTTTGAAATAAGAGAAAGCGAACTTCTCCTTAACCAAAATAAATGTAATAATGGATAAATTGTCTCGGTACTTTTAGAACAATTACAGTTTTTACGATAATGATAATTGTTGCACTTTTAGTGATATATATTGCTCACTTGTGACCGGTTAGTGTTTTATGCTAAATGTCATAGATTGTCTCTTGTTTTGTGTTTTGATACTGGGATGTATTAGTGTCCAAGAATAAAAAAGGGATGTGGGTTAATTGGTGTGGAGGAATCTATATCCTCAAAAGGCTATAATAACAAGTAAATCATGCAAGTATACATGGCTTACAAGTATCTTGTAAAGTAAATAATAATGGTAAGTAATACCAAATATCGTTCCATAGAGATTTATTATGCAAAGAGAGTCACAAAAGTTAACTTTAAAGTGAAATTTAAAAAAGGGTTTTTGGAAGCAATAAAGTTTCAGAAAGAAAATATCTTTGCTAGAGTTGGTAACCAAATACTGAAATGTAACAATAACTAAAAGATAGTATAGATGCAAGATCAGGTTGGATTTCAGCAACGAAGTGTAATAAATATTGCTCTATAAATGGCTTTTTACAACACCACTGGATTGAACGACCTTCGAAGGAAGTGCAAATTAGAACATATGTTGGAAATGCACTTGGTGATGCATCAATCCCGAGCTTATACAAATCTTTCCTTTCTTTCCATATAGTTTTGCAAACCATATGACGACTCTTTATAGCCTTTATAACACAATTAGTAAAAATATTTGTGTTGTCTTATAAGTCCAACTCATCTGAATAAAATAACATGTGTCAATTTGTCAAAGATTACCAGATGAAATATTAATACCACTTGTGAATAGCGAAATAAATTGCTATTAACAAGCAAACATCAACTAATACTTGGCGAATCTCACAATCTTCACTTACACTCATACAGAGGTATTTTAACCTAGCATGAATGAATATAAGTGCTTAAAAGTAAATGACATAATTGGAAATGACTGAATGTAAATGATGTAAAAGTGAATTCTGCATGAAAAGTAAAGAGAAAGCTAGAAAGGTTGTTGTAGCAACTGACAGTGACGAAGAACACCTAAAAGTACTTGCAAAATGATATAAAAGGTAACAAAGACCTAAAGCTTAGATGAAGCTTTGCTCTTGATGACAAAGTGATATTGTTCTAAGTGTTACAGATGTTTAAAGGATTACCCTCATATATATATATATATATATATATATATATATATATATATATATATATACTAGCAAGAGGGAATCAAAAGTACTAGTGGGTAATACCCATTGGTTATTAACCAATGGGTAAAAGAAAACATGCCTTAGTACATAAAATGTTTTAGTACAAAAGTTTAAGGTATCTTTGCGGTGGCATATTCCATCTAAATCGTCTGATATCAGTACTAGAAGATGCCTTTATCCAAAATCTGACTTTTCGACATTTTCAACGTATACACCTGCTACAACAATGCTTATGTCAGCATTTTATTCACCAAATACATAAAACAGTACCATTCCCGCATCCTAGCTCTAATGTATGTGAAACCATAAAATAAGATTAAAAGACTCAATATATGATTGGAAAGATGTAAAATGAAGACATAATTGGGTGCTAAAGTCTATGTTTTTACACACTTTTCACACCCCACACTTAAACCATTGTTGTGTCCCCAAGCAACTAAAATGACAACTTAAAATGACTCAATACTAGAAATTTGAAAGAAAATTAAAAAGGTGAAAATGAAAAATCAACATTAATGAGATTGATAACAAAGCAACACTATAGCCATGCATAATTCTATGTGAGATCCAATCCTTTCACTTATTTCCATAGGCCAAGAGCCACACTTCCTTTTGTCAGACATCTACCAATTGCTAAAAATCAGAATCATTAGGACTTTTATTAGTTTTCTTCTTTTTTGATGATCATTGCATTCTTTCTTCAATTATTCAAGCTTTTCTGTAATGCACAAACAGTGTATATGCTATGCGTATTTGATCTTTTCTGCTTTGATTTAAACATTTTTGTACTCTATGCAAAAATTTTAAGCTTTTGGCTATTGTCCTATGGACTTTTGTTGCATACTAGTACATGTAGTACATACACTCCCTCCCTCACACTTGAATATGTCCATGTCTTCATTTGAGGATTCTTGAAAGGATATGGTCATGGGTTCAAAGTGGTTGTGTATGAACTCATGCATAAGAAAGAATGGCCTAAATCATATTCCAAAACAGCAAGGTAGGTTGTCTATTTGCTTCCTAGGTGGGCGTGCTTGGTTTTAGCCTTAAGTACTGGAATGAACCTTTAACAACAAAATTAATTGGGATATGATTTGTTAATAACAATCTCATAAACTCCTAAAATAAAATTCAAAGTTCCTAGACTCAATGTATATAAAACTGAAAATAAGAAAATAAAATACTATGGAACTAAGGGTGAAAGAAATGGACATGTCCTACTCATTGTGAGTAGGTGGTACTGCATCTTGAGGAATGATCTCCTATGTTTCTCTGATAAGTTCTGGTGGGTATGGCTTAATACTAGCATACTCTATGGGATGTTCCATGGCCCATTCAACCTCCATTAATCCATCTCTCTTCATATGGTAATGCCTCTGTAGAGCAGTGGGTTTTCTTATTTGTAGCATAGCCATATCCTGTTCTTTCAAACAAGCCAACAACTTCTATTCACTTTTCTCTACCTTGGCCTCAAACTCCTTATTTTGCCTCTCCATTATTATCATCCAAATGGCATCTCTCTCTTCCAACTTCTTCATCAGAGCCTCTTGATGCTTCTCCATCTCATTTACTACATATATGAATGAATCAGTGACAAGGTTAGGCTGTGGTGCTAGTGTTGGTTATGGTCTTGGGATCTTCCTTGTTTTGGTTGAAGTGTGAGCAACAACAAGGGCAGGGGTGGTTGTTGCAGCAGTCATAACCTATGTTGCAGCAATGGCAATTTTCTTCATTGCCTTCTCTGTATTCTTCTTCACCATCTTGGTTGTTTGTTTTTTAATCACAGTCTTTCCTTTCATAAACTCATTAGTAGACAAAAATCTTTCTTTTGCCCTGGTCAGCAATGCATGTATCAAGGATGGATGCCAAAGGTGTCCCTTGCTATTCTGTACACAAGACTTTATGCTCTTACAAATGATTTCCCTCACACTAAATCTTTTTCCAGTAATTACTAACACTAAGGTTTCTTCAGTGTATGTTGAATCTTGAGTAGATTTCACACATTTGTAGACAGAATTGTTATCACTAAAACCACATCAGATTACAAACTGCTTGTCTTTGTCTTCAGTTTTATCTTTGATATCAATGAAGGTTCTTGTGGTGTGAGTTTTGTCTTCTTAAAGAATACTTGTCTCTGAGAGATGCAATACTTGTTCAGCGAACACTTAATAAATTTAGTGATGATCGTTGAAACTAAATAAAGAGAAAGTACTTTTAGTAAGATAAAAATGATCATCATCAAATCACTAAGAGAGAGGATCAACACTTAGTCTTTGGCCTTATTTAGTCAGTTGTGGTTGATGGAGTCAAGGAAGTCCACAATATCTTCAGCAGTTGGCTCAATGACATAGGGGGCACTCTTAGGAAGCTCCAATGTTGAGCGAAGAGTAGTAGGAGCAAAGCTGGAATTTTGGTCACCGATATCAAAGGATATCCTTGTCAACATTCGTCCCTTTTTAGTTTTTTTGGTTCCAGATTTCTTAATTTAGATCAAAATGAAAAGAGTATTAATGTAGAAGTTGTAATTGATCTTAACAGGATAAAGCAATATAAGATAAATAATGAGAATAAGATCACAAAACTGTTTGATAAGTCACCATAGTCATCTTGTCAATTGATAGAATCCAAATTACAATTGATTGATCGTGAGGATCATGAAGTACTTGAAATCTGAATGTTGTTCTTATAAATCTTGTCAAATGAACTTAGCATGAGCTCCTATTTATAGGCCCTTGGAGGAAAGTCAAAGCTAGAACCAATATAAATTATCCATGTGTAAAGTAGCTTTAAGAAACTTTGGGTGGGGAAGACTGGGCGCGTGAGCTTCATATTTGTTTACATCACAGACTTGTCGAGAACAGAGATGGGAAATAGAGATGGAGCCTCTGGTTCCTCTAAGAAGTACTTCTGATTCTTTGATGACAAGGTTTCTCGTTGACCAACACTTGAGCTTTCTTCATACTTTTACAGATCATAATTATAGCGTCTATCAAGTTTCCTCACCCCACGTGAGCAGAAAACCAAAACTTCGTCAGAAAGTCCTTGACTGCCACTAGTTCAAAGGTCAGGGCATGAGCAATCATAGAGTTTTTAAAGAACCTTGCAGCATCATTGAATTAAGGTCTTGTGATTGAGATTTCGAGTGGTGCCAGGTCATTTTTTTTTTGTCTTGATGGTAATCTCATTGAGTTCAAAGTTGACACTCTATGTGGCTTCCATTTCTGTTTTTAGATAAATAACATAAGGTACCAAAAAAATAGAAAAGGTATGAGTAAAAACAAATTTGTTAAAATAAATATTAAAGTGTTTTTTAGACGATGATTTTAGTGAATAAGTACTAAAGTTTTGTCATAAGAAAAAAGGTTTTTTTTGAAAGAAGCGTTTATGGGTACAAAATGTACCATAAACACTTATTTGGAGAATGACAATGGACACTATATCCCTGAAAGAGAGGAGAGAGAATGATGATTCAAGAAAAGTGTGGTAATGATGAAAAGGGACACGTCTCTAGGTTGTGATGGGATGGGGAATGACAATGGACATCATGTCAGAAACGTGGAGTCAGTTGTTTTCATTTTCAAAAACCGTTTTAATGACGTCATAAATCTAATATGACCGTTCATTATCTTTCAAAAAATTTTGAATACCGAGTAAGAGTAAACATTCAGTGATTGTCTTTAAGATGAGTCTTCTAAAAACATTTTGATCACTGAGGAGAATGTTCAGTGATGTGTTTTATGTTTTAGAAAGATAGTCACTGTAGGACACCCTCAAATATGAAAATAGCGACTAATTTAAACATTTTCATAATACAACAAATAAAGGGGTAAAACCTTCTCTATAAATCAATACTTGAATTACCTTAAATATCAAATTTAAAATCATTATCAATAAAATATATACCAAGCCTTATATGAAGACTAAGTTAAGGTCGGGTGTTACTATAACCCATTAAATTAATTGGTCCCAAAAAACACACAATATCCAAACATGGATCGGCAAGAGTCCGTGTATCCTCCCCATTCGGCATTTGAATAGGGGGTGATGGCGTAAGTAGCAGATTTGGAGATGTGTAGCATATGGTTTAAGGATGCCTTTTATATAATTCAAGATCCTATTTAGAAAGAGAAAGCGTCTCTCACATGGGCGTGTATGAAAAGGCGGACCTATTAAATGACATATGCGATGTCGGGTCAAGTGATGCCAAGTACTAGGAGCACCTGTGAGGCTCTTGTAGAGTCTTAAGTTGGCCATGAAAAAACCGTTAATGGATTGTAACTTGGCCGAAGTGTACGCTAATGTGGTGATGGTGTTGTACGTAGACAGTCTCAAGGTCTAGTGTCGAAGCCAAGCACCGAGGGATGGCCAATGTTGTAGCCGAAACTTGTTGGCTCAAAAATCTACTACTTGAACTACGACTAGCGGTTTAAAAAGGTCAAAAGTACCAAGAAGTCTCAGTTTCAATCTAAGGAGGAACAAAAATCTTCTTGTGGCCACGGAGGTTCAAATGCGGTGACTCCGGGCTATTTGCAAAGCAGGTGGTCGCTCTGGGATTAGTCGGCTCGCATAGCGGGTTGGATATCCAGGTTAATAAAAAAAAAGCTACTCTTGTATACTGCGACACCGTTTCGACTGTCTATCTCTTTAGAAACATCGTTCAACATCAACACACCGAACATGTAGAAATTGACATCCATTTGTGCGTGAAAAAGTTGGGTTGACATTGTTTACATGGTTCATGTCCCCTCCGAGTATCAATATGCATGCATCTTCTAAAGGTCTCCCTTGACACTTGTTCATATGTTTTCGTTTCAGTTTTAGCGTTCGACCTCCTCCCGCTTAAACTGCAGGGGTATAGTAGGAATTAATTTTTTCAAATAGATTATTTCCTATATAACTATATCTTATCTTAGGATAATGTTCTCATCCCTTTTCGTGGGAATGTTTGTGTAACTATAAAAATGTTGTACTCTTTGTACTTTGCATCAATGAAGATGAAATCAATCTACAATATGGTGGTGGTACAAGTCATGAACGTTGACGGTAGGGGAGGGGGATGGACGCCTAAGATGGGGGTGAGTGACAGGTTGAACATGAGTTATTGGATCGATGGGGGAGTGACATGTAAAAGAAACTGTTTCATTTTACATAATATAATTGACTTAGGGGCTGTTTACTTGCGGCTTAATTAGGTTTATTGGTTTATCTGGCTTATTCACACAACTCATTTGAGTTGTTTACTTACGGCTTATTCACACATAACATGACTTAATCGCACAGATAAAAATGGTGTGTTGTCCCCATTCAGCCACAAAAATGACACCCCTATTCCTTATTTAAAGCACCACCTTCTTCTCATATGAGACACATCATCTTCGGACTCTTTATGATTTTTTGTTTGATGTTCAAATAATTAATATTGGGGGGGGGGGTAAATCGGTCATTTATGTTATTCAGATTGTTGGTTCAGATGAAAAAGTAAACAACAACACCCATTTATCTAGACATACAAGTTTATCCGGACAAAAAAATTTATCCATATAGGACTTAATAAAAAATTTGGTAAACAGCCCCTTATTCGTCAAAGAGTCCAAAATTTTGTTCTAAGCTAACATAGGAATTAAAGTTCATTTTCATATCCATTCTGCAACCAAACAACACTTTGCTATTATACAAGGAAAAATTGCATTAAGATGGAAGTAACTTTATGTTTAATTTATATTTTAAGAAACCAACTTCTAAAATCATCATTTTTAAACTTCATATAAACTTTTTATTTATTAACGCGTTCCGGTAAATGTCTACGTAGTTTCCACATGATGGTTAAAAGTTAAAACTAAAACAATAAATCTGAAATGATGATAGGGCACATATATATATTTTATATCAACAATTATTCCATTTCATTTTTGTAAATAAAAAATCAAGGGACCGTTTATCAAACGCTTACTTGAATAAGTGACCACCAAGTCACATTTCCTTATCGGATGAATATGGTAAGGACCAAGAATCTTACCCGGTAAAAGAGAAACAAGAACCAAGAGTCTTACTCGGTAAGTGAGAGCGACGACTCTTACCATGGTAAGTGCTTACCGGGTAAATTATTGCATACAATACCATTATGGTGGACTAAAATCTTATTCGATAAGTAAATAATAATGTTAAATTTTAGAGTTAATCTCCTACCAACGCTATCCAAATAAAACCACCGTCCCCCAAGGTGATACTCCCTTTGATTGCATCTCCATCCATCTTCGGTGCTACTTTCCCATGCCCATCTCGTCCAATTTCTTCTCTCGAAGGCAGTGGTTGTTCCACATCCTTGACGGATCCATCCCCATTTTCGATCAAAGTTTGAAGGTTGAAGCTTCATCAATGGCGATGGATCTTTTTTGTTGCTTGGTTGTACATATGCATTGATTTGAGTTTGAAGCTCTTCATTCCTTTGTGTCCGTACTAGGTTTTATGGTTCGAATAGGTGCTGCCAAATTTCTCAGAAACCTAATAATGTTGACAACAATCAAAATCAATAAAACCCAATTGAAATGCACTTGAAATTGTACAATAAGTTCTCTTACCTGAATAAAGCTTCATCCACCACTGTAACTGTATGTGAAAGGGAGAGAAGTTTGGTTGAAGAGAAAGTGCACATAACCTTTATCACCCCAGTGCTAACCGTTATCCGAATAGTTAAATGTTTAAAATTTTACATCATTTTACATCTTAAATATCAAATCAAGAGTTTTAAAAGTACTTTAAGGTAAAAAAATGTTACATTTTTATGTAATTTGTACCGTATTTTAATGCAATTTTCAGTTAATTAAATCTTGAAGGAAGACACGAGACCACTTGGGTTTATGATAAGGTAAAAGATAGTCGGGGAGTTGCTGGGGCGATCGATTTTTACACAACACAACAGGGTGGAAAATTAAGTTAGGGTTCTTGCTGATTTAGGAGAAAAGGGTTGGTTGGAATCAGAGATTTGAGATAAGAAAATCAAAGCTGCAGGAGAACAAGATGTCATCCTTGTGCCTAATTCCTCTTCCATCATGCGCATCGGTAACCTTCTCTATCCACATCTCTTTAAACCTTCCATAATCTCGTCATCGCAATTTTTTTTAGGTTTTCTCGTTTGGAAACTGCAATTGCAATTGCAAGAGAGAGTCGTTTGAGGTTGATAATGCTGTTAGTTGATGAAATTATGGTTCTGTCAAAATTAACAGTGGAAACCGGTGACTACTGTTCGTCGAAAGCATGTAAGAACAACGTCAATCAACTGTACTAATGATTTTGGGGCCAAATCCTTTTTCCTCAATCCTTCCGATGAGCGTATACTTAAAAAAGCTTTGAAGGTAATCCTTGCTCTTTCATGGAAACTGTGCATCTCTTTTATTCCTGAATAAGAAACTGTCCTATCATTCGGATAAACAGCTTATACCGGTGTCAAACCGGTAATAAGGTGTTTTTGAAGAAGTTAAATTATAATAAGTTAATAAACACTTTTGTAGAAAAACACAATTGTTTCAAATAATCAAATCCCAATGTAGGGTCTGATGGGTTCAGGTGTCAACAAACTGAGAACAAGTGAAGGCACCCTTGCATTGTAATTTTGGTAATGGTTTGTGTTTGTTGGAGAACTGGGATGGTACCCTTGTATTCTGAAAGTTACAACCTTCACACCCTATATTTTAAACTTCATGACACAATCAAAGATGACATGTGCTTGATTGGTTTGAGTTTGGCTCCAAAGGTCAAAAGTATCGGGAGGTCCCAGGCTCAAATCCAGGGAGGAATAAAAATCCCCTTGTGGCCACGGAAGTTCAAATGTGGTGACTCCGGACTATCTGCAAAACAGGTAGTCGTCCTGAGATTAGTCGGCTCGTATAGCGGGTTGGATATCCAGATTAATAAAAAAAAGATGATATGAAGGTTACAAACTTCAGTCAGTATAAGAATACCTTCTACTTTTTTCCACATTCTCATGAAAGTGAAGAATTCTCACCTGATCTAGACTTTATATATGCTTACATAACACTTGGTAAATGCTTTGTTTTATTATTTCATCAACTGAGGTAGAAAAAAACGAAACATTAAAATTAAGATGTATCTCGCTGCATTGTGCGAGTACCCTTCTAGTATGTATGTATATATACATACATATATATATATATATATATATATATATATATTCACGTACAAAATCATACAGTTTTAAAAGTTGTCCGCTTCCATTTTTTTGACATTAATGTAAAAATCACATGTGATTTTGTACATTAACAACCTTTTTCTTGTTTTCTTAAATAGTTAGTGTTCTCGTTTGAACCTTCCTTTACGAGTATATACAATATATATTCTCTTCTGATTATGAAGCGTGGTGAATTCCTTCGGGTGCGTTAGGTATGTGAGAGTGAGGTAGGCAGATGAAAGAACTGCATAACGTTTTAGGGTTTTAGTTTGACATGAGTAGTTTAGTAATTTCTCAGTCTTGGGACACGTCTCCCTTATTTTTCTTCCACCTATTTTGGTGGCACGAAAAAACTGCATTTTTGCCCCACTCAGTTCTCTCTCAGTCTAATGTCGTGCCAAATGTGGAATAACAAGTTTTTCTAAACGAAACACACCCAAAACAACCTCCAAGCATCATCATGAGTAAGACAATGAACCCAAAGACTAGAGTCCAAACATAAATCATGACAAACATCGTAACCAAATTCATAATTGAAATCGTAACCTACGCATACATCTTAACCTAACATCATAACAAAATCTGTTACAAAAATCGTAACCTACCAGATCAGTTTATGTGCCAAACCTAGTAGTTTTCATCATGGTTTCCAAACCTAGTAGTTTTCATCATGGTCCCTGGACGAGGCTTAAGCCTCAATTGGTGAGGCGGTGCCTTGAGGCGTTGTTGAGGCTCACGCCTCTCCAAACCCTATTTTTTCTTCTCTCTTTCTTATTTTTTCCTCTCTCAAGAAGATATTCATCTCAAAGATCAACTCAGAAAGTAGGTTCTTTTTAGTTTGTGTCCATATTTTTAGTTTATGTATAATGTGTTATGTATGTTTTTCTGTATATTTTCCGTTTTCCTTTCTTCTGTATTATTTTTATTTTCTGTTTATTAATCCCACAACCGTATCGAGTGGACTCCCAATAGATATGTATTCCCATTACCCATAGATCAATATCACTGAGACTTTGGCGCAGTAGGACTGGCTTGGGTATTATGATCCTCAAGAAGGTAGCATTACACAAAGTTTGTACATCAGATGTTCATGGGGGCATGTCCATGGTTGGTGACACTGGTATTTGTTATGATCAATGACAAAGTAGAGTTTTCCCCCCCGTAAATACATCACTTGTAGCTAGAATGAAACCTAACCTAGAGAGAAATCAAGATTACAGACTAAAAACCAATCCAAACCAAACGTATTCGACATATCCTACACAGAGGAGGTAGGGTCTGGGTATGTAGAGCTGACTGAGTGAGGTAACAGGTCATTTTCAACTTTAGTAGGTACCAGTTTTCGGGTCAATCAAAGTTGGGGCATAGTCATTATCATCTTTCATGTACAACTCTTTCTGCTACCACTAGTCATGTGCGGGTTCGGCTTCATTTACTGGGATGCTACGATAGCATTTAATGCTATTTAAGTGAAACATAATTATGAACGAGCATTTGATAAGACTAGATTCTACAATTTAGCTTCTTTTCCGCACCATCACTTTTTACTAATTCCTCTATTTCGTTGGGGAAACTTCCTATTTATTTTGTACACTTGTCACAAGCCGGGGGTCTTCAAGGAAACATCCAATCTACCTTTTGAGGATAGAGGTCAGGTCTATGTACATCCTACCCCCACTTCTGGGTCTGGGTGGGAATATACTGTGCTTGTTTGGTCTAGTCTAGGTTCTACGATTAAAAGAAAAGATGGAGGAGTGTGTGTGAGTTTTGGTGTATGTAAATATTATATATACTTGAAAAATAAATATATGGATTCCATTTGTGTGTGATTGAAAATACAGGAGCCTGTTGCTTTCATGGGGGGGATGTTTGCAGGGCTTTTGAGGCTGGATTTGAATGAAGATCCACTGAAGGAATGGGTTAGTAGGACTGTGGAAGCCTCTGGATTTACGGAAGAGGAACTTGACACTGAAAAGACCATCGCAGCAGAAGAACCTCAGCAGATAGAGATTGAATGAATCCATCTTTTGGTGAATTATTCTTAATTTTCATCAAATCAATGCTACATAATACCATTCTTCTTTATCATATCATAAAAAAAAATGCACAATGAAGAAAATTGCAACCAAAATTCGAATTCCAATTCACATTTGAGTCCTGTAACATCTCTGTGTGTGTGTATATATATATATGTAGAGAGAGAATCGGGTTCAAACGAGAATGATACCTATTTAAGAGAATAATAAAATGGTCGAATCACATGTGATTTCATACCAACGTCACGTACAAAATCATATGATTCATGTGGCCAAAGTCTCCCGTGCACCTTTTTTTAACTGTTGATATAAAATCACGTGTGATTTTGCACGTGATTTCTTCGTTTTTGTGTTCTCTTATATGATTAGTATTCTCGTTTGATCATCTATCTCTCTCTCTCTATATATCCCCTTATTTTGCAAATTGTCTAAATGTAAGGATATTTGTGTCTTTTTAACCGATTCATATTTTAGGGATAATCACCTTCCTTAAATACCTTATAGTACCATATTTATCGAATTTATTTTTAGGGATAATCTTTTTACCTTAAAAATCTCATTCGGTTGTCATAACTGATTTCTTCTCCAACCATTTCATTGAGAACTTCTGTTACCAAACCAATCATTAGTTTTCATATGAAATAATAATTGTTTTTGTTACTTTAGTTTCATACTAGTGTTATTTCACTACTGAAACAATACATTTTTTTTTAAATATGTGATCATTTTGTTTCTATATGAAATCAAACCCGTTATTGGTTCTCATATGAAATAATAACAGTTTTTGTTACATTGCTGGTTGTAATTCGGTTGCCATAATCTTGTTACTTTAAGTTTTCTTTTAAAATGGTTCATAATGATGTTTCATATCTGATGAAAAATACTAATACCAAATCTAACGAATAACTAGGGATACTCAAAAACCTAACCAACCCAACTCAACCCAACCTAACGTCAAATAACTCAACCCGAAGCAACCCGATGTCTAATTGAGTTGTAAAATTTTCAAACTGTAAGTATTGAGTTGATATTGAGTTACTATTATTTGAACCTAGGGGTGTAAATGATACGAGACAACTCGCGAGCTACTCGAGATCGACTCGGTCAAAACTCGGTTAAAACTCGACTCGAATAGGCTCGGCTCGAACTCGAGCTCGTCTCGATATATTAACGAGTCAAGTCAAGCTACACAGTACTCGACTCGAAAAGCTCGTGAGATACTCGATTATTTTATATATAATTAGTTTTAAAATATAATCAGTTTTTATGATAAAATTTATAAAATATAAATAATAAAAATRTCCTACATTTTTAGATATTTAAACAAAATTATGCATTTTTTAATTATAAAACGAATCAATTATTATTTTTATTAAAATCAAAATTAAAAAAAAAAAAAGACAAAGAAAAACTATAAAAAAAAGGTTAGTAAAATTGTCCCACATTGGAAGAAAGATGGTAAAGGAAGGGAAAAAAATGTTATAAAAAGATAGGGAGGTGAATGTAATTTCTAACTTTGTCTTTTTGATGATRAAGTTTGAAGTTGATCATTTAGTTTTGTAAAAACTAAGAGAACACATTTAATTTTTAAAATTTATAAGAGAAAAATCCTAAAATTTCATAAATTTGAATGGATGAGCTTGGTTCGAGTTTGATTCGAGTTCGAGCTCGAGTTTGAGCTTGATTCGAGTTCGAGTTCGAGCTTGAGAAATAGTTATCGAGTTCGAGTCGAGCTTTGATTTTTACTACTCGCGAGTTTTCGAGTCGAGTTCGAGCTTGGAAATTCGGTTTCGAGTTCGAGTCGAGTATAGTGATACTCAAGCTCGACTCGCATCATTTACACCCCTAGTTGATTGTATCCTTTAGCGACGAGCCTAGCCTTATTTATGACAACCACACCATCTTCATCTTTCTTATTCTTGAATACCCCTTTAGTACCAATGATCGTCTTTTTCTCAGGGCAGGGTACTAATCTCCAGACTTTAAGAGCTTCGAACTGATTCAGCTCTTCTTGCATTGAAATTATCCAGTCTGGATCTGCTAAGGCTTCAAAAACCTTAGTCGGTTCTATGTTACTCAAGAAAGTGGAATATAAGCATTCATTAGCAGTTGCAGACCTTGTACGAATTGGTGCTGAAGGATCACCAATKACTTGATGTAAAGGATGACTTCTGGTCCACTTCGTGCAGTGAGGTAGGGGGTGTACGAACTTTGATCTGGATTTGGATCAATGTAAGTACATTGGGGGTTTATTTGAATAGGTTCAGGTTCAGGTTCGGTATTTAAGTTAGCCGCAGGTTGATCATCTGTTTGAGGTAAAGCAATAGCATCTTGTACTTCTGACGATCCACCCTCTTCACACTGAACAGAATTGATAGGATTTTCCATCTCTATCTCTTCAT